AAGCGATACATACATACATATATACGCACACATATTACTCATTTACAGCACTTCTTAATTTTCTCTGAATTTGCATATTACTAACTACAAAAGCTAACTACACTTTTGATGTCATACTAATCGCCCACAAAGTAGGATAATGAACTGTTGTCAGCAGCAGTGAGGCTTGTGAACACAGAAAACGTGGCTACAATCATACGAAAATCTATATATACAGTACCTACTCATTTACGCCTCTGTGTGAAATTAAATTTGAAAATAGAAGTTGCGGTTATTAGCTTGAAATAAAACACAAATACGCACAAGCAAACGCAAGCCGGCTAGGAGTATCTCACATATACATATACATATATTTCACATATATATAAATTGAGATGTTCTAAAGCTTAAATTCTCACTTTCATTTTATTTCTTATTTCCACAGACGTATGTTCCCCACCGTGCGCGTTAGCTTTTCAGGCCCTCTGCGTCAGATACAACCACCCGACCGTTATGCTGTGGTGTTGGATGTTGTGCCGATGGATTCACGCCGCTATCGATATGCTTATCATCGCTCATCGTGGCTGGTCGCGGGCAAAGCGGATCCACCGCCTCCAGCGCGGCTTTATCCACATCCCGATTGTCCTATAAGCGTGGAGGCGCTGAGAAAGCAAGTGGTTTCCTTCGAGAAGGTGAAATTGACAAATAATGAAATGGATAAAAATGGGCAGGTTAGTAAATTCAAGTTGTGTAAAAGCATTTGTTTTATAAAACTTATGGAAAACATTTACACTAGTACTTATTTAAAAAAATTCAGAAGAAATTTTCAACGCGGTGTGTATGATTGTAATGTAGGGTGTTACCACACACGCACATTCCACAAGAGCATAAGCACAGTGCCGTTAGTACATTTAAATATTCAACAATTCCGCCTTAGAAAACGATCAAAAACTTCATATAAATCTTTAAGTTTTTATATGTGTTTGGTTTTTTCAAAAAATTTTTCAGATCGTACTGAACTCCATGCACCGTTATCAGCCGCGCGTACATCTAGTGCGGCTCGCTCATGGGCAGAATATACCCAACAACCCGAAGGACCTGCAGGAACTGGACCACAAAACTTTTGTTTTTCCGGAGACGGTATTCAC